GAGGAGGGGGGATCTTTTTGACCAATCTAAAGTTTTAAGATGGGACCATCTAACTGTAAGCTTTCATACTATGCCTAATCAATTTAACTAGCAGTACTATACTTGAAGATAAACTGCTTTAGGCCTCCATGCCACATGAATGTGTCCACTCCTGTGGTTCTTCAACAAAACAATGAATAGACCAACGTACCTGACAGTAGAGCAGGCTTTCCCATACTGCGCCATGCAGAGTGGAATTGTACCACGAATGACAAGTGGCTCCACCTGTTCACGGTCAATTTTCTGCTTCAAGTCTGCAAAGTGAAATGCAGCCACTGCAGCCCTGTTCAAGACAAAAATAATGATTACAACTGATACAATAAACTAATATTTACAATAAATAAATATTAACAGAGGAAAGGACCCTAGCACTACTTGTAACAAGAAAAGTGAAAAATAACAATTTTTATCATCTTTTTATCCAAAGCAACTATAGAAATTATCAATAATGAATTTGATCTATCATGGAAATCCCATCATCTTACCACAATTTTTTCAACACAAAAGTCACAAATAAGTGCAATATTTACTTACCTTGCTGACTGTTTGTCTGTAGGGCACCAGTAGCTTTGGTCCAATATGTAGTAATTGCTGTTGATAGACAAGGAGCTTCTGCCACTGAGGTACACATACTTATTCCTGTAGTGTAAAATTAAATACAATGTTTTCAACATAGCATCATTTGTCCTATCACCACTGAATGGAAAAGACCACTTCAATCCATTAATCAATTTAGACAGATAACAAGCAAGCAGTGACCAAATATATGAAGAAATTTAAGGAACACACAAATATTCTTCAAAGCAATATTTTTTATTGAATTCTACCATTCCACTTTCCAGACACAAAATCACACACCTAACAAAGTCAGTATTTGCATCACTTGTTATTTACTCATTTGTAGAGTTGCATGCATTTAACAGTCCATATGAGATTTAATGCATATGGTGTTTACTCGATCTTTTCAATGGGGAAAAACTGTGAATTTTACAGACACTTTATTTTTTAATCATAATTTCTTATAATTAAAACATTCATATTGTGTGGTAACAACAAAATTAAAAAGCAGGCTACTCTAGAGCTGTATTGTATGCAGTAAAAGTGCCATAAATGCTATATAAAAATATAATTTTTGTGATTATAAAATCATGAACCTGCAAGTTTGATAATTTTTGCCCAATGAAAAGATCGAGTAATAATTGTACATAATAAGCATTTTGCCAAATATGAGTGTCAACCTTCCTTCATTTAAACTACTGTTAAGAATAATCCTAACATATACTCCACTTAAAGAAATACCAAAGAGCATCACTTCAGCTCTTTTAGCATATCTGTATGTGTATATTTACTCACAAATTGATTAGTACAGTAAAAATTTTTAGAAGTAAGCACGCATAGAATCTGATTCGATCATTAAACTTGAAACTGACAAAAGTTTCTTTTGATACAAAAGAAAGTTGAGCTTTCTCTGTGAGATTAATGTCTGTATTGGAGGATGTCTTTAATAACATATAATTTGGAAACCTGGTTTTATTCATAATGAAAGTGTAAATACCAGTATTCCCTCTATTTTAAGCTTCTTTCACACGTACAGCATTAAGTGTGCTTGCTTGTAACCCAAAAGCAGAAACAGTTTGACTTAGGGACCATTCCCACAGATTTTGGATCGATCTATCTCCCTGGAGAGTCTCACTATAATTTCTGTCAACGTAATAATTAAATAATTCAATCCGGCTTAAATGTCTGGGGGTAATTATCTTTACCCTCTAGCTGATTCTGTAGGCCTGACAGACATTTAAGCAGGTTAGTTGATAGCAGATGGATCGATCAAGGCATGGGAACCCAGTCTTAGAGACTACATAGTCAGCGCCCTGGTAGGTGAATGCTTACCACCAGTCAGTGACCCAGTTGTCTGCCCACCAGGACTTAAGAATCAGAGTGTGCTGAAGTTTCTTACCGATGCCTTTCTCAAACTCCTGGAACAAATAGGATGCATGAAGCCTGATCATCATTGTTAATTTTGCATGCAAAGCTAAGTTAGATACATGTGCATGCATAAGCATGTCCACACAATTAGTAAATATCCAGAGAAACAAACGAGAGATGAAGTTTCATATAATACACTTTTATAAAAATCACTCCATCAGGGCAAATTCAAACCTGCCAATTCCTAAGCACCATCTGGTGGCCAGATTATCTTGGCAGATTGCAAGCAGATGCCACAGTGAAATAAGATCTCCATGCAACATTCAGCCTGAAGATGCTCTTGGGATAAGTAACCTGGGTCACTTTAACCAATTTTTAAAATCAAGTTATAAAAAGGGTCAATCCTATTGAAATATTTCAATTTTTCTTGCACTTACGTATATTTAATCCAACCAGCTTAAACTTAACTTTGCTGGAAATTATCTAAAAGTCCAACAAACTCCCTGTTTTACTTTATCAAACTATGACTTAATAATGCAATTTCGGTTGCATCCCTTCATTACGACTACACACATTTTAAAACTTACCTTTGACTGCTCCTTCAGCTTCTGGATCTCCTCAGAATGCTCCCCGTACAATGGTTTCAGCGATGCAATCAGATCCTTGAGGGACTTCTTCAGTGGAGGCACTGGCATTCTGGGTAAACTCCTCTGGCAGCTGTATAGAGATGGGTGCCTGCCACTGACCAGGCGCACAATCACAGCCCAGATTATAGTGGAGTAGGACTGGGTTCTTGGAGGTTGGTCTATAAAGCAAGATGAGGTTTAAAAGTGCTTTTTAAAATAATCAAACTTCAAGTTGGAACAACTTTTCATGAGTCCTATTTACAGATTATTTAGAAAAATTATCAAAGAGCAAAACTGATTGCTGAATGATGTCTACAATATTTAACAAACCTCACTAACTTAGGTAATAACTATAGAAAATTATAGGGAATATGTATTTCAGGTATATAGATTTTTCTTAATGAACAAGCTGTTAAACCACATACACATCCATCCTCTGTAGGCCAACAGTGCTCTTAGAGTGTATCTCCGCACATGTAGGAGGACAAAGAAGAATCCAGTCCCAGCAATACCAGATATCAAAAACACTCGCAGGTAGTAAGGAACATCTGGAAATGACAAAATCAATCCATCTCATCATAACAGTTTTCCTAATAAATACTTCTGAAATTGTTTCATAAGAAAATATTAAAATGTCCACATAAATTAAAGGATTTTTATAATCAATGTTAATTTTTACTATATTTAGATACGAAATTATCAATTTTGTTTCATTCCAATACTTTTTCATGTTAGGAATAAAGGACATTTTACAGGGTACAAAGTCTTGATAACTTTAAAGGAGACGAGTCACCTTAAACCACAACACAGACAGACAAAGTGGACTTTGATACACTCTTTTCTAAAATCATTGCAGGCCTTTCAGGCCAAATTATGAAAAACACAATGACAACAACATCCTCTTCTCCGAACAATTGTACAAGATTTCTAATCCACGGTGTTTGTAAATATGATTTAATTCACCATGTTAGAAAACGTAAAATTAAATCAGTTCAAACATGCATTTGAGTATCCAACTTAGGCTCTATTCCCATAGATTTTAGATCGATCTATCACCGCGGGGAGTCTCACTAGATTACTTTCAGATAATCCGACTTAAAAGTCCGTCCCGCCTACTACAAGCTGTAAAAGGGTAATTAACTTTCGTGTCCGTCCGGCTGACAGCTATTTAGCGTGAACCCCCAGGGAGTTAGGTTGATCTAAAGTAGGTCGATCTAATCTATGGAAATGGGGTGTTAAAGGGTGAAACTTGTGACCCATAATGTCATTGTCAACAACCATTTATCGTTATGGTTCAAAAAGGTCTCGTGTATCCTAACAGTGCAAAAGCCCTTTAAATATTCTAATCAATATCTATGTAACTACTTGTGATAACCTTAAATTTAGTATCAAGCATGATAATTCATTATACACTACCTCAATTCACCATTTATAAATAACATAGTACAATCACCTGTACTTGAACTGTGGACTCCGTTACCCAAATATTGATCAACTTCTAAAACCTAACCCATATCACATTTTTATTAAAATCATGTGATCCCTTTTAAACCCCTTCAATACTATGACATTTCCTGGGATAAGACTTTTTGGAAATTGGCCGATAGTCGAAAAAAATTTCACAATGTTGTAAGCACCAACACCACAGAAAAAGTTTTTAAAAATCTGCCAATAGTCGGAAAAATCTCATCCTTGCATTTCTCTTCACATTTATCTGACTATTATAAATGCAAAATTCCATATAATGTAAGCTTTGAAACAATTCCATGCTGGAACATATGGTACTGGATAGTAAATAGGATAATTTATTGTAGCAAAAACGAGATAAAATTGACAATACACTAATTAAGACAGATAAGTAGCAGTGGCACTTAATATAGACTATATGACATCAAATGTGATGGTATCAGAAAAATCCTATAGAGAAATGGAAGATGGGCATCAAGGAAGTATCATTAAATACAAAATCTCTGCCTGTTCAATTATTCCTCTTCTATTATAATGACAAGATGAAATGCAATCTGAACAGTAATCCAAGAGCAGGAAACTGTCCTACATATATTACCATCTCATCATAGGAAATCCCATGAATACTGCAAAACATCTGTAATTTGACAAGGAGGTTAAGTATATCTTTCTTTCTTTGAAAGATGGCTAATTTCAAAATGTACAATCTGAGCTGGATTTTGTGTCAATTGATAGTCCAATATGATAAGATAGAAGATATGTATACCAGATATCATCCCACATGTACCTTATTACAACTGATAACCACAGATATGGCAAATATTTTTCAACACTAATTAATTATTACATGAATGACATAGATGTTATATACACTAATTAATCATTACACGAATGACATAGATGTTATATCACAATATTCCAAAAAGACAATTCTAAATTTTCCATAAAGGCGATTCTTTTAATAATCACAACTTATCCCACCACCATCCCAGTGCATAATCCCACCACCATCCCAGTGCATACCTTCATGAAGACCTAGCAAACCCCCAAATCTCCACAACAAGCTTGTGACTGGCTTCAGGAATTCAGGCTCATAAATAAGACCTGTCGAAAGAACAGCTACGGATCCACCAAGGTTCCACAATGAGGTTGGCCACAGGCCATTCTTTATTTGGTTTCTAAAGGGAAAGAAATTTAATTGCTCTTTAAAATAAAAATACACTGTACATGTACAAGTACTAGTATACATGTACACTGTGGGTATAGAAACCTTTCCTTATGTTTTTCCCATGTATATGTAATCAATGATGCTTATTAACTTATTTCAAGCAGGCTGTCTTGTCAATTTGATCAAGTTCTAAAAATCACATTTTAACTACCGGACTAGATCTATTCAACCACAGTTTAAAAATAATTTAAAGTATTTTTTAACAAATTATGATCCACATATGTGTGACTTCCTTGAGAGACACAAATAACACTTGTATAGTATAACAGACCTGTATGCGTATCAGTATGATAAACCTGTATTGTACATGTATCAATAATTATATGGATTTGTCAGTCTATAGTTACCTAATTCGATAAAAACTTCGAACAGTTGATCTGCGAAATGCAACCAAAAAATCCCTTGTCGTGTCTCTCCCCTCTTCTATGTCATGAACCCTTGGTTTTAAAACTGCGCTTCTCGCTTCAGCCATTCCTCGCCTACAGGTGGTGAAATAAACTGCTGTTTACTAAACAGGCCGCTCGATCATCCTTCCCGCTAAGTGAGCTTGATACAAATCATGCAAGGAAATCCCTGTTGTTGATGTATGTCATTTGACTTCGAAATCTCAGAAATAATAATTCAAGTTCAAAAATGCAAAATTTATCTTCAAGTTCAATTATGAAATTGCTCTTTGAATGAATTGTTGTAGTGGAAACTAATGCTTAAAAGACAAGCAACTCAGTGGTCCAAAGTCCATCTCAAAGCGAACCGAACATCAATGACTTATTATATAAATCAGTCTCAACTATCAAAATGAAGAAATGTTTGCGTTGTCGACTGCTGCCCTCTACCGATAAAAGTGACATACTATGTGGATAATGAACTACATTTAAATCTGAGATGGAAATTCATTTATTCACAAATCTATAAAATTTTCTGTATTCAAGCCCCTTCTAGACCGTCCACAGTGGAGGTGGATATCTTACACATATATTCAAACAATTTTGGTATGTTAAAACAGTTTTTGATCTCAAAAATTAAATAAGATTTAACCATGGCAAGATTCGGCTCAGACCTGTCCCAGAGAAATTTAGATGCAGTCTGAATGTTTTTCCAATCAAAATTAGCATTTATCTTGAAAACTAAAGCAGAACATTTAAAATTGACAGAACGATCCATCTAAGGTAGTTGTTAGCTTCTTCGAACAAGCGATCAAAGAGTCTGATGAATTTACCTTTAAAGTCAAAAACTTTAAGGATGTAAAAGCAAAAAGAGTTGATCTATCTTTACGTTTTTTCACACTTTGGGGTTGGGTGATGGTCTGTTTTTATTCTTAACAAGGCAGCAAAGCTGTCAAATGTACAGACAAAAAACAGAAAATAAAGATGCAAAAAAGGTCATTTTGTCAATTTTGATGCAATAATAAATAATGGTTATATATATATAATAGTACTGTCAGTCAACACTGAATTTTAATCATGCACAACAGGTAACATGGTCGATAACAGGGGCGGACCCTGAGATATTTTCTGACAGTATTCCAAAGTATCTATGTTGATCCATCCTCCATTTTGATGGTCTTCCAACAGAAAAAAATAGATACCAGTTAATATAAACTTAATAACCTGACTGTCTTCCGGAAGACCCAGAAGATGGTCTCAATCCACCCCTTCAATAAGATTACAGTTTCAGGACAATGAGAGACCAAAGTCACATGATGAAAGTCTCAATATTTGAAAAATGATGACAGTGCATAAAATAATATTACATAATGTTTAAAGACATAAAAAACAATACAATTGCTTATGTGGAAATACAGAAAATGTGCAGAGCCTTGAGCGGATGAGAGCTAAAAGTCACAAATGCAAGTGTTTGAGAAAAAATTGTAAAGGAAAACATAACAAAACTAGAAAACCACCGAGAATGCAGACCTCTGCCAAGGCAGCAATTGTTGATTATTATTGATTATTGATTGATTATTGAGAAAGACCACCACTAAAAACTAATCATTGTCCTCTTTGGCCCAATTCTGACAGTTCCTGAAAATTTCAGCAAAATCGGTCCATAACTTTTTGAGTTATGTTGATGACAGACAAACAGGGGTGAAAATATAGCCTCCTTGGCAGAGGCTGAGGTAAATATAATTCCAATGAAGCTGCTATTCAAACTTTTAATCTTCAATTATATATATATATATATAATAACCTGCATAATTATCACTGCTTCCTTATTATTAATCTAGCAGAGAGCTTAACTTTTGGGAGTTTAATGGCCTATCAATTAGGCAAATTTAATGGACTATCAATTAGGCAAATGATTTTATAACTCAGACTTTAGCTAAGTGATACCCAAGGGATATTAACAGACTGAACCTCTCAAAGGTCTTTCAGGCCCATAAGTCACATCTTAAGAAAAGCACAAAACAATAATGCACAAAATAGGAGACTACCAATTCTGATGCAATAATATATTATGTTTTACTGCACAGTCAACATCAAATTTTAATTATGCACAACAGGTAACACCAACGAAAGTAAAAGCATAAGGCTTCAGGCTCATCAGAGTTCAAGTTTTTACTTAGAAAGTGCCAGAATGAGAAAAATGAAAATTTCACACAAAATTGCATAAATTCAATAATAAATGATAACCTAATTGACCTGGCTTTCTAATTTGAACTGCATGCCAATCCTAACAA